ATATATATATATATATATATATATATATATATATACGCATGTACATATAATTATTGCAGGTTAAAAGAGCAGGAGGGTTGAGCGGTAAGAGGAAGAGACGAAAAGCTGCAAGTCTGGTAAAAGAAATTGTGAAACCAGAGCCAGTAAGCAACACTCCAGCTGACTTTTCTAATAAGGATCAGGTAATTACGTGATGGTTCTAATGTTTTGCAAGTTAGGAATTGATACAACTAAAATTATGCAGATAATGAAAGCTTGTAATTATTTGTTTTTAGGGACTTTTATGGGCATAGTCACTGCTTTTTTGTACTTATATAGCACCTTTTTGTGGCACTATACATTTTTTTTCTGCTGCAGAGTGTTTTATTTCATTTATTACAGAAAGAACCAGATCCTTCCGTGGCTAAGAATGTTGAAAGTGTTACTGACGAAAAAACTGAATGTGCAGTACCTCCTAACTCAAATCCTGCCGCAGGAGATGATTCGCCGCCGGAAAAAGGTGAAAAAATTAATGAGTTTGAGACAGGTAGCGTTTTTGGTTGCTACTCTTGTTGTTTCACGTTCTGGTTTCACTAATTGTATTTATTGTAATATGCTTATTTTTTTTTTTATTTTGGTAGACGAGCTTACATAGTTCCTTGTTTTTATGATCTTGTCTTGAGTTAATTACCATATGTAATTTCTTTGTCTTTTAGTTGAAGGGGAAATTCAAAATACTGCCGAAACTAGCGTTTTGTCCGACGCTGATGATTTCTCGGGACATGCCGAGAAGCCGGAAAAAGCGATCGAACGGACGGTTGACGACCTTGATGAGGGAGCGATGCCTGATAACGATGACGTTAGATCTCGAAATCTTATTTTAAAGAAGCATATTAGGTTTTTCAGAGTGTAGATTATTTCTTTTTCCTTCCTGTCTTGTAGATCTCGGTTTTTGAAAAATGAGTTTCGTAAGTTTATTTGTTTGGCACTTTCTGTCTGTGTATTTGTTTTTCACTTTTTTGAAAAAAAAAAGGAAGTTTTTAGAGTACCCAGGCAGGAGAAGAGGATGAAGAAGGACCATCTCGACCGGCAGAATCTGAGAAAGTATCTCGTGCAAATGATTCTGATTCGGTATATTTTCATTTTATATTTTATTTCTTTGATATTTGTTGAGATTAGTCAGTAATTGGTTTGATAGGAGCCTAAACAAGAAAAAGAAGAAAGGAGGCGAGAAAAGTCATCTCATACCAAAGTTCACTCGCAGACACCATATGGTTTGCCTTGTGCAAGGGAACTGTTCAGGTAATTTTGGTTTAAAATTAAATTTGGAGTAAAGTTTTGCGTACGTTCTTGAACAGATTCATCTCAAATAACTGAATTTATATGTTCTTTAGGTTTTTAATTGGTTTAGCCAATCCTCTGGATCGGGCTAATACTGAATCAATGGTTTTAATGGGGCTAAATTTGCTTACCGTGGCGTTAGAAGCCGGAGCGGACCATATTCGTAACTATACGCTTCTCATGGCACTTGTAAAGAATGAGTTGTGTCGCTCTTTGATACAGGTTTTTTCCTTACGCTTTTGTCGACAGGTTCACATATTGTCAAAACGTTTTTTTGACTTTCACTATTTATCTTAGGATGTTTTGAACAGGAATGAACATAATTTAGCAATTCTAGTTTTTTGCTTCGATTAACATCTAATTGATCAATATTTTCATGATTTAAACTTCAATTTTTTTTCAAAAAATATTACAGCTCCTCGACACAGAAAAGCTGCCTATTTTTGCGGCTACGAATCGGGTGTTTTTCCTTCTTTTTGAATCCCTTCGAACCGACCTGAAGTTTCAGATGGAAGCTTATTTCAGTAAATTGAAGTCTATCGTTTCCAGTGAGCGGGTAACCGCAGTTTTTTGGAGATAGGATGATGTCTTCTTCTTTAATTACTTTCACTAATTTCCAAATTTTTCAGAGCCGTGTAAGTTATGAACAAGTAGAGATGGCTTTAGAAAGCATAGTTCAGTTATGGCGTGTTCCTGGCTTGGTCACAGAACTGTACCTCAATTATGACTGTGATTTGTATTGCTCAAATCTTTTTGAAGATCTTACGAAAGTGAGCATCATTTTTATTTTATTTTGTTTTTTTTAATTTAGTTTTATTTTTTTTCTTTTTTTTTCTTTGATTTACATTACAATTTCTTGGTATGTTTTTATTTTGCGAAAAAGTCATTTTTACTGTTTTTCGCAGTTACGAAAAGCCGTAAGTGATTTGCTTCTAATTGTAGTGTTTAATTGGAAAACGGGGATTTTTTCACTCTTAAGTTTGATTTTCATATTATTTTGAATTATGTCATTTTAGCTGCTGCTGGAGAACGCATTTCCGGTAACAGGTCTTCATTCAACTCATATTTTGTCCTTAGATGCACTGCTGACTGTTATCGACACCATTGACGTCAACTGCGTGTATAGGCAAGCTGGCGGTCTTCAAAAACCTATAGCACATAGGTGAGTTATAAACCTTTTTTGAAAATCTTTTTGTCTTTTTAATTTCTTCGACAGCAGCTCTTTTAGTTCATCTTCAAACCAACTTCGCCTTCCTGCAATTAGCGGTTACACCGTTGGACGGCAAATCACTGACTCGCATACTAGTGATCAGCTAGGTAATTAATAAGTTTATTGAGCGGTTTGGAATTAAATAAATTAAGTGCAAAAAAAACTAAATGTACAACTGGAGATGGGTTAGAATTTTCTTGGTTTGCATCTGTCTTATTTTATTATGCCGCAGATTATTGGTGTCGTTTATCTTAATTAAGTGTTTAGCTGCTCTTGAGAATTCTGCTTTAATGGAGATGTTATTGCCGTCCGCAGCTGTAAGAGCCAACAGAATGGCTCCATCGCCAAATCTTCCATCTTTAACTGAGGTTATTGAAAGAAAGAAGCAAAAAAGGATACTTAGTGAGGGAACAGAACTGTTTAATCAGGATCCTAAAAAAGGTTGCATTTTTAACTTTGCAAGTAAAAATTATTTTCACTGTAGGCTTCCAGTTAGTTTAAAGGCCTTCGTAATTTTTAGGTGTGCAGTATTTAATGGAGAAGGGAATTCTGAAGACGCCACTGGACCCGGATGATGTCGTAATTTGGTTAAGAGAGAACCCTCAGTTGGATAAGAAGCGTATTGCAGACTATATTTGCAAGTAATTCTTGTCTTTTAATTTATGACTTTGCATTCTCTGTGACTGATGTACTTTTGCAACTTTTTTGAGTGGCACTTTTCGTGATAGTTTACGCTTTTTATTTGCAGCCGGAAAAATTTGGCTGTTTTGGATGCTTTTGTTCGTTCTTTTCCGTTTGAAAATACAAGGCTAGACGAAGCTCTGCGTATGTTTTTGGAGACATTCCGGTTACCTGGTGAAGCTGCTGAAATATCCATGGTCATGCAACATTTCTCAGGTGTGAATTAATCGGTGTTGTTCGCATCAAAATATATTTCTTAGCAACCTGAGAATATGGAGGCCTTGAACATGCTATTTAAATCTGCTTTTCAAGATCACTGGTACAAAGCGAACAGTGAACCTTTTAACCACGCTGATGCTGCATTCACCCTTTCGTATGCCGTCATTATGTTGAACACAGATCAGCATAATCCTCAGGTATGACCACGGAGATATATTTGTACACTTATCAGCATTTTTAGCTCCAAATTAATCCATGGTTTAGT